CTACAGGTAAAGAGATGGGAAGAACAGAAGGTAAGTAAATATATTTGCGAACCACACCCAGCTACAGATAATAAATAGATCACGATTCACTGATAGATAGATAGATAGATAGATAGATAGTGAAGAGACTGAGATAGATAGATAGATAGATAGATAGATAGATAGATAGATAGATAGATAGATAATGAAGAGACCAAAGTAAATAAATAGATAGATAATGAAGAGACAAAAATAGATAGATAATGAAGAGACCAAAGTAGATAAATATATAATGAAGAGACTAAGATAGATAGATAGATAATAAAGAGTCCAAAATAGATAGATAGATAGATAGATAGATAGATAGATAGATAGATAGATAATGAAGAGACCAAAATAGATAATGAAGAGATCAAGATAGATAGATAGATAATGAAGAGACCAAAGTAGATAAATATATAATGAAGAGACTAAGACAGATAATAAAGAGTCCAAAATAGATAGATAATAAAGAGACCAAAATAGATAGATAGATAGATAGATAGATAGATAGATAGATAGATTGGAAGCAGACTTAGAGAAATATTTTTCTATTTTCAATATTAAATGTTACATCATCTAAAAAAGGGGAGAGAAGAAGAGAAAAGAAAGATGGAGAGAGAGAAGAAGAAGAAGAGGAGGAGAGAGATGAAGAGGAAGGAAGGGAAAGAAAGAGTGATGAAGAGATAGAGGAACACAAAGAAAGAAAGATGGAGAGATAGAGGAAGAGAAAGAAAGAGAAATGTAGAGAGTCAAAGAGGGAAAGAGAGATGAAAATATAGAGGAAGAGAAAGAAAGAGAGATGAAAAGAAAGCAGATATGAAGAGTGTGGTGATATGCAAATGTGATGCTATATAAATGGAAAGAGTTCTACATTCAGGAGTTAGTTATCTCCCCTTGACTACATCGCATACTTATGATGAACTATACACGACACAACATGGCGTCGGCAATTGGTTATCTAACCTCATTAGAGAATCCAGAGCTTGTGGAGGCATGGATGAGACGTTTCACAGCCTTGGCAAGAGTCAAGAAATTGAGAGAGAGAGCAAATATAGAAGTGGAATAAATGAAATAATGGATTTATCCCTAGCATCAGCAGTTTGTAAGGCAGCAAAAAAGATCTCCGTAATAGCATATCCGAAGATGTTAGAAGACATGACATTTGAATAAATTGCCAATATTGTACAAGCAAATGTATGTCCAGAAAGGAAATTGGTCATAGCTGAGAGGATAAAGTTTCTTGAAATCAGGCAAAATGCAACCATTAAACAGTACATTCACAGGATAAAAGAAGCACTGAGGTACTCCGAATTTGAAAAATTGGGTACAGGACTGATGTCTACAGAAGAGGAATTAATATAGTTAAGGCTAATTGAAGGACTGTATGATGTCTCGAGTAAGTACAAGTTTTGGAACAGCTTCAAGTCCAGAACATGAATATTGAAATGAGTTTTGAATTTTTACAGCAGCTAGAGTTAATTTAGACATTTAATATCCTTAAGACTAGCATGGAGAAATACGGCACTATGGAAAGTTTACATAAATGCCATTTTAGTAACAAAGAACATGAGACAAACACATATCAATGCCCAGTTTTTGGAAAGACATGTTTTAAGTGCAGAAAAAAAAATTCCAGTCAGTATGCAAATATAAAAAAAAAAATGGTAGAAGTGGAGAAGATAGATCAAGAAACACATAAATTTATGAAGTAAAAGCAATAGACAAGAGCAGAGAAAGGGTAAAAATAAATAGAACGACTTTATTAATTGCTGTGGCCGTATTAATGCCAGAAATAAAGACGCAAGAGAGGAATTGAGTTAAACAAATATATTAACAGAAACAGTAATACAAACATATACAAACGAGAGTGTTACAGCAAGAATGTTCAGCCCAACTATCAGAGCTGACTGCTGGAAACTTCCCTCTCCAAAAGGCAGTACCTGCTCCTATTTATAGCTGGGAGAGTCCATGCATGTGTGGGTAAATTACCATAACACTAATGCAAGTGAATACGGGTAATGATGTAACCCTAATACCCAAGAATTTTTGGGAGAAAAAGAGAAGACCAAATTTAAAGAGGACCTATCTGCAATTGAAAAAAATTTGACAGGTCAGTTATTAAAACACTTGGATGATTTGAGTAAATGTTCAAGACATAGACTCAATTCGAGGTAATACCAGCAATAGTTGTGGAGTGCATAAAAGCTGATGGTCTCCTGGGAGATGACATGTTAAGAGTAGACACTTCAATGTTAATTAGTTAAATGAAATTAGAGAAACCTGAAATTGGATTTTTAAAGGATTACGAGACGAGTGTTCAGCTCAAAGAGAATATCCAAATAGTATATTTTCAGTCTCATAAAGTTCCAGTTCACTTTCCTGTGGTTAGTGAAACTTAATAAAATGACTAAACAAGGAATATTGGAGAAGGTCAGCTAGGAAAGTAGCAACTGGGCTTCTCCAATTGTGTATGCAAAACTAATGGAGATTTAAGGATTTTTAGTGACTACAAAAGTTGGTGTAAATTGCCAGATATGTTCAGACTCCTTCCCATTGCCAAATATTGTGTTGTGGCCTGTTTAGAGGCCAGAAAGAATGACACGGAAGACAAAGGTAGGTTGAACAAGTGTATTGAAATAACCGATATATACAAAGCAAGAGTGTTAGTAATAAGCAGTTAGAAGTGTCTGTCCGAACGGTCAGGTTACACTGCATTTCGTCTGCTCTGTGACTCTCCTATGACTCTATCCTAGGAAGTCTCACAGTTAGTATTTATGATAGGAGGAAGAGTTCATTCTACTGTAGGAGGGTTTACCACAACATATTGAAACAACCTGTCACAAGTTTGCTGGCATTAAATTTTTCACCAAAATTGATTTGGAAGTAGCATATATTATTTACATTATTTGGACTATTGTCCTCATCTTCAATGCCATTTTTATTTGAAATGTTTCTTAAAATCTAAATTGCATTTATTCAGGTGGTTGGAATTTGATAACTGACCCTTTCATTATTTCACATCACTGGGGTAGACTGTTTCTAATTCCACAAAATAAAGGGTTCAGTTCAACATTCCAACCACCTGAAGAAGGCCGGATGTAAAATCTTCAAACGTTAAAAAAAATATATGACAAAGAGGGGGACAATAGTCTTGATATAAATAAAATAAGTTCCATAAGGATGAATCATTTCAGAAGTAGCGTATAATTAGATTAAAATTGACAACCATTTTAATGAAGTTGCAACATTAAACACTCCTATAGGTCTTTTAAGGTGACTTATCTGCCGTTTGTAATTAAAACATCCAGCACCACATATTCCAAAAGGTTATTGAGAAAGTTTTGGAATGAGTAAAAATCATCACCGTCTATCAGGATAATATAGGTATTTGGCACTTGTATTAAGAAGGAGCTAAAGAATAGTATGGAACAGGTTCTGAGTAGATTGAATAATATGACTATATCGGTAGATATATATAGTAAGCACAGGATATACCTGGCGGACTTGCTTCGGGAAGTTTGCTAACTAATGTGTACATTTCATTGAATACAACAGATAAGGTGCTTTTATTTATTTTTTTTTTTTTCACATGCAATCTAAATACACAAATATATATATATATATATATATATATATACACTATTTACATTCTTAAGACTGTTGTCCTCATTTTTATCGTCATATTCACAATGTTTTGTCCATTGTATGCTCCAGCCTTCTTCAGGTGATTTACATTGGAATTTCAAACCAAACCCGTTATTTCATCCACCAGGGTAGATTGTCCTCAAGGACACATGGCCCAGTGGATGAAAGCATTGGTTGAACTAATCCATTGACTTAACCCAAAAGTGTTGTGAGTTCAATACCTGGCCACAGAAAACTTGGAGAGTTGAGTTACTAAAGGGAAATAACTGAAACGGAAATATCCAGAAAAGGCATGGCATGTGGAACTAGAACAATCTACCCTGGTGGACAAAATAAAGGGTTTAGTTCATAATTCTAATGTATATCAATACAAGGCAATACAACAGTCAAAATGTTGTGAATATGACAAGATGAGGAGAACAGTCTGAACAATGTAAATAGTTGCAATACCTCGTCTCAAATAGACAGAAGATTTCTCAAATATTCAGGCAGGTAGATGTAAATAAATAAATATACTGTTTAATAATAAAAAATAGTGCATCTACTCAAATATTAGTATCCATTAAAAATAATGTTTAAACAAATAAATAAAGTATTAGGGAATCAATCGACCGAAATCTCCTGAAGATACTGAAAGGTTGAAGCCAAAAGTAGTAAAAAATTTAATGCTGATCTCCTAATTTGAATTTATTTCTCTCTCTCTTTTTTTATATATATATATATATATATATATATATAGATAGATAGATAAATAGATAGATAGGAATAAATCTGTTGGTGGATCCTATAATATCAAATATTAAAATTGATTTAAAATCTTTTATTTATATTGTTTTTTTACACACACACACATATATATATATTTAATATAATAAAAAAGGCTTAAAAATTAATATTCCATGGTTATAATTTATTACATTGGAATTGTAATTATGATCCAATTCATCAGACCTACAAATTCAAAATGAAATGAATATATATATATATATATATATATATATATATATATATATATATATATATATATATATATATTTTTATTATATCTCAATTTTTACACACCCACACACATGTTTTTTCACACATCAATAACTGGAATAAATATTCATTTTTCTCCTGAAGATAATTATAAAAATTATTTCAACTAATGATTTAAATTATCATAAAATAAAAAACATTTTCTTCAATTATAATTAAAATAATAATCATTTCTTGAGAATTAATTAAAGATGTTTCCAATAATGAAATTAAAATTTGAATAAATCTGACAGCTATATATATTTTGCATTGGTCATGAAGGAGATGGGCCGCTGAAATTTTAAATTAAATATTTTTTAATATATAATTGGGTATATAACTTCATTTAGTTTCTTTTTCTTTTTGGTTATTTTTTTATCACTCTTGTTATTAAATATCCTACACTACAATAGAAATATATAATATAAATATATAATAGAAAATCTGCCAAGAAAGGTGAAATGTTGTAAGAACCTGTTACACTGTAACAACAATTTATATAAAACTAAGTGTTTGTCATAGATTTTCCTAGAATTGTTCTGATATAGAAAAATTATGTTCTTTCCATAAATATATATATATATATATATATCATGAACTCTCCTCTCGTTTTATAATGTAAGAGGGTCAAGCAACTCAGTTCTTAGGAACCGACAGCCAGACAACAGCACATGTGATTTGATTTAGTGGCAAAAGCTTTGTCAAAGAACCAAAAAATTTTTTTGAAGGGCGGAATACAGAGACCTGCAATTGTCTACCTGCCATTGGAAAGTTCCCAAACAACCTTCAGCAGGTTTTGAATTCAGAGCTGTCGTTCTCCCAGACCAGTTGCCATCCAAGGCTATAAAACCCTAGCCTGTCCTGCTATTTACACATAGATTGGGGGGGAGAAAATTTCAGATGAATCATTGGAATAATATATATATATATATATATATATATAAAAAAAAAAAAAACAGACCAACAAAAAGGTTCCATTATAATAATTTATTTCACCAGAGCCCTTTTAAAGGGACACTGGATCATCAGATAACACTTCCAAAAATGAAATATATATATAAGGAAAAAGTTATAATTGTTCCAACAAGAGAAATATAGATGGCCTCCAATACTTTTTTACTGTGTGCATGTATATTATAAAAAGAACCTTCAGATAGTTGAAGGCCATTTATATTAAAATGAAGC